AGAAGTGGTTTGGGCTTGACTATCCACTGCAGGGTTACAAATCCGGAGTGGGTTGATGCTGTTTTATCTCTGAGCAAGGTATTTCCACTAGATTTCTTCAGTACATGGCCTGCTGTGTAAACTGTCAATTTCTAGGTAGTCCGTGTAAATTAGAATTAGTTTATCTGGTTCAATAAAGGACTTAAAGTGTTAAATTAACTCCAGTTGCTACATACCTTTATTTTGCTGTCTTTTTTCAGTACTTCTTTTGTATAATACATAGATGTGGCCAAGAAACTAATTAATAACTAATAATTACAATAACAAACAATAATACAAAAATAAATTGTGCTGGCAGGACAGGTTCTGTAGTGCTAAAAGTGTGAGCATGGACTGTGTGTTTATTGCTGTCTGGATAATGCTGTGTTTTCTGTATTTTCCACTAAGTTAACCAATTGTTGACAAGGTCTTTTTTTATAAACCACATGCCTTACACTGTGGAGTTGCATGACTGTTATTGTAGTGGAGCAACCCAACACATCATTTGCTTCAGGCTAAATGTCACACACAAGACAAACTGTTCAGGTATTGTGGTGTTTGTGCCTTCTCTTCTTTGTGCTCAGTGTTGTGCCTTAGCAATCAGTTCTGACACAACTGTTGCTAATTCACATATGGTACCCGTGTGTTGCTTGTCAGTTTGTGCAATATCTGACTGCATTACTGATAGGGGTCACAAATGTTTTTGTAGTCTCATTCATTGTGAAGCAGGGTTTAATCATTCAAGCCACAACTAATATTTTTTCTTTAAAAAAACAAAGGCTTTTGTATTTGGGCAGGAAACGTAAGCACACAGTGCAGAGAGGGCACAATGCCAGGGGTCTGGAACATAATTGTGCATATTTAACTAATACCCAGGTCTGATCTTCAAACTTTTCTTTTTTTCTTTTTAAATGAAAAATTACCCTTGACACTTCTGATTTTTTTTTGTTTAATAATGCATTGGAATTTCCAGTTGAAGTTGGGTGGTCTGCACTATTTTCTTTCCAAAACAACAGACAAACAGAAACCAAGAGTTGCAATTTCACACAGTTAAAGTTTCTAATCTGAAGAATAATCCTGCACAAGTAAAAGACACTTACGTAATGGAAGGTATTTTCTCATGGTTCCCCAGTATCTTTAAATCTGAATTGTTTTTATCATCATGCATCTGTCTGTTATTTTCATCCTGGGAGACCTCTAAAAAAAAAAACAGGCTCCTGCTGTAAGTTATGTTGTTGAACCAGTAGTGGCAGCTCTTCAGTCTGCAGCACTATCACCAAAACTAATGCCCCAGTGTGGCGACTAGGGATAGTCTACTGTAGGGGGCGCCATTCTTCAGATCAGACATTAAACCAAGGTCCTCACTACCTGGCCGTTAAAGTTTCCAGAGCATTTGTAAGAGTGCTGGTGTTTACCTGGCTGTGCTGGCTGAGTTCCACTCTGAATGTGCTCATTCCAACTTGCAGGACTTGCCTGCCGTTTCTCACATCTCCTCCAGTTCTGCTTTTTAATTGGGCTGCTGGCGTGTAATGGACTCCTATGCATCACGAAGATGAGTGCAGTGCTTCAGGGAGGGATGTGGTGGGTTCTCTCCTATGACTAAAGTGTTTTAGATCCTTTGGGATGAACAGTTCTATTTCAATGTGAAGAATTTTGTAACCATTATTAAAAAAGAACATAGCAAGCAGACTCTTTCATGGTTGTTATTGCCAGAACTGCATGTGAAATGGTTCATAGACAGGTGCAGTGATTCCTCCCTTCTGTATGTCTCCTTGAATTCATTCCAATTGAGCAATTAATCACTGAGGTTTAATTAGGCCCAGAAACTAAACCATTTACTTGAAAAGGCCTTTTTAACCTGTTTCTGTACTCAATCCTTAGTGTCAAAAGCACTACACTGCTGGAGCACTGTTAAAGATATACAGCAGGTAGCAAAGAACCCCATCTATTCTGTCCGCAGCTTGCTTACTAAGTGGTTTTCCTGCCTTAATTCTGTCTGAGCAGCTCTGAACAGGTGGTAAATTTGTAATGTCCGGGCATAGGTGGGAATGACAGAGAATCAGAACCTTACAATGAAATACGTTCCTCACACCTGAAATCTGAAACCTCTTTCAAGCATGATGCTAATTACAAACACCGTCCAGATTCTTAGTCACTGAAAAGATCATAATGGTCATCTGGAGACCGATTAGCCAAACTGATACAGAGTTCAGTTGGAATGAAAAACAATATACACTGGGGTTGTTTGTAAGAGTAGGGGTGTTACCCTAGAGTTCTGATAAACTCTGGGGGCTTTTACAATCGGGGCCAACCCGATTGAATAAAATCTTCCTTAATTCAGATGCTGAAGCAATTTCTCTCTTCACCACCTGAGCACCTGATCTGCTGTGTAATAGGGATGCTGCACTTCAGTGCTGGATCCCTTTATATATTTGGTATCCTTTGGATGTAAAGCATTATGTACTGTAAGTGCAATCATTAATTCATTCAAAAGGCTTTTATGGACCAAGGTGAAATGATGGCCAATTAACTACCACAACGTCAGATTCATCATATTTGTAGCATCACGGTAACCTGTCAAGCAAACTAATTAGCTCTTTTGTCGCTATGGCACGGCCACCAAGACAGCCCATCAGACTGTTACCTAACGTTATACAGGATAGCACCCGAGGCCAACAGCACTCAGCAACAAATCTTACAGAGCACTCTATGGTCTTCTCCTGCAGGTTTTACAGAGACACTCCAATTAGACGATGATGAAGACCTCAAAATCAGGAGATTCAGCTGCTTATCCAAATAATTAATTGCAATTAGGTAATGAAGATCAAATGAAGTGCAAGCCACTGAACCTTGTGACCTCTGATTTATATCAGATTTGAATCATCACGAGCCTTGTGAATTGTAATAAAGGTGTCGGCCCACTGAAGTATAATAAGCATTATCGTCAAGACAGTTTTCACGAATCCACAGAGCCCATTGCAGAGGGAAGCACGTGAGCCCCTCCCCTGCTCTTTTTTCTCTTTCCCTCTCTCTCCCCATCATTCCCTCTTCCCTCCTCCATCTCTTGCGATCTCGTTAGGCTCTTGTGGGCTTCAAAGGGCTCCCTGCCCAGGGCCCGGCGCACACAGCCGCTCCGCCTGCCCGCCCCTCCCCTGGGAAAAACGTACGTCCCCCAGCTGCTACTGCCCTGCGTCAACACTCTCCACCTCCTCCCCCTTCTCTGATTGCTGTTTGACAGGAAGCCACACCGTGTGCCCAGAGAGGCAGGCTAATTGACGGGAAAGGGAGGTTGAGAGAAACTGGCAAAGAGGGAAGCAAATCATATTAACGCTAATCTGGCTGGGCTCCTCTGACGGAGGGTCACATCTCTGCAGGTGTCCTCCACCTGCAGCTGCAGACCCCTGAGGTGCACCTGGCTGGGGGCCTTTGCATCGTGCTTTGCTAAGCAGACTTTGGATAACATAAGATAATAACATCCTCTAACACAGGAGAGTCCATCTCTGTCTCTTGGACTTTTGATCCCGTTTAAAGTTTAAATTTCATTGAAAGGGATTTCAATCCCTAGGATCTCCTGTAGCAGAGCATACACACCTCACAGTCAAAGATCAATGGGCTCACCCCACAGTGCATTCTGATGAGCCACATGCCATTCAAACCTGTGTCCCCCCAACCTTTTGCAATACTCTTTGCCTTGAAGTTGGTGGGGGAGGGGACAGTTTTGTAAGGTGCTAGTGGCTCATAGCTATGGCACGAGCAAAGCAACTGTGTGGTACAGGAAGTAAATATAATATGTATTTCTTTTTCATTTTCCAATCCCACCAACACAATAATGCAAACTCAAGGAGTCAGAAAGTAGTACCCACACTTGTGCAGGTTAAGGTGGACTTAAGGTGGTGCTCTGTTCAGCCGAGAAGGAGCAGCGGTGCCTTCCTGTGCAGGAAGCTGTATGTTTGGAATGTGGCTCCAAGTGTATGATAGCAAATCTGATTAATGCTGCCTGTGGAGCCACGATCTGGATAGTAACGTACAGTAAGCAGCCCTTCTCAGACCCCAGCTCAAAGCACTACCGAGGCAAGCTGATCTTTCTTGTGTTTTGCTTTGGAGTTATATGTAGTGAAGTTAGAATAACGATAACTGACAGAGAATTACTGTAAAAAACACAGTGAAATACAGGTAAATATCAACTCAAACAGGTACTCTGTCTCAGATGTCTGGTTGGCTTGTGCACTGACTGGTAAAACAAAACAAATCTATATTGTAGGACAACAAAACATTTTTCTTCTGGCACAACCTCGTATAACCTGTCTAGGTATCTTGTACATCTCCAGAACAGAAGAAGCACAGAAGCCACTATCAGAGCCCAAAATGAAGATAAGAGATTTGTAGAATATGTTGTCTGTAAATGCTGGGAATTCATTCTTGAGGAGCACAAACTTCACAACTTTTAAAGCCAGAGCCCACCGCACTTTAATAAAACTGCAGGATGTGCAATTGCCAATTGGATATCCAGATTAGTAGCTATAAAATAAACTGAACCATCCTTATCCTTATTCAGCCTGATTTGACTCCAACGGTATGTTTCCTGACAGAAATGTTCTGCAAAACTAGAACTATTTTCTGGTTGACTATGACTATGTTCTCAAGTATATCTGAATACACTAAAGTATCCCAATCCTTACTGAACTCCTAATCCCAGCCCTTAGACTACACATAAGTATACTTCTGCGCACTTTTTTTTGGTTCCATGAGCATTGTTTAGCAGAACTGGAGTTCAGATGAAGTTTTGTTTTCATCGGGTATCAGGTGAAAGTCCAGCGCATCTAATACATGCACGTTTGTGGAAGTCACAGGCAGTTCCATGTTTAGGATGGTATGAGAGACTTCTGATTTTTGCTTTCTTGGAATACCAACATAAAATAAAATTGTTGCATTTTATTTAATTCCAGGAATATAAACAAAAAATATTGCTCAGGAGGTTGCATTTTAAGTTATTTTATTCTACAAAAGGGTCCGTCGCACCTGTGGAGTCGAGCAATTCCACTTTCTTGGAATCTTGGAATTTCTTGGAATTCCACTGTCTTCCATTTGTCTTCCAACCACACACTTATTCCAGCCAGACCTGTCACAGCACAATTTCTCCTCCCTCTGACATTCTACACTAGAATTAATAGTCTTAAGACAGGAAGATGCCACTTCATATTCTCCACAGCCTTAAGCATAAACGAAGATGGTGACTTACAAACACTTGTATTTTTTATATTAAAGAATCATTCACATGAGGCTGGAATTTCATCTTTGCATTTCGCTAACCCCTCAGCTGAGTGTCCTGTGATGTCTCCGCCTGAGAAAAGCCAGCCTCTGTTTCCTTCCGTGTTCCACTGCGAATTGAGAGGGCTGTTCTTGAGGGAGTGTGGGGCTGTCAGGGTGAACTGGCTTCTCCACGGCTCAGTCTCGGCTTCCAGGAGGGCAGCCGCCGGAGAACGAGCTGAGGGTGGAGCAGGAGCCGAAGTTAGAAACCAGCCCCGAGTCGGAGTCGGACACGGAGAGCTCCTCAAACTTCTGGATGACGGAGCGCACGGACTGGAAGGGGACGTCCCGACGCCAGCGCCCTGCCCCGGCTCCGCGGGGGCCCCGGTAGGCAGAGAGGCAGTTGGCAAAGACGTGGGGGGGCGGCGGGAGCCCGCAGTGCAGCCTCAGCCTGCCCTGGCCCAGGCACAGCGCGGGACGCACCGGCCCCCCGAACCGCGTGGGCAGGGTGGCCAGGTGCTCCTGCACCAGCACGTTCTGGAAACTCAGAGCCCCCCCTCCTAGGTTCAGGAACACCCCCACTGTCTTCACGTGGGGCGGGATGGAGCGTAGCTGCTCCTGGAACCCGTCATACAGCAGAGAGAATAAGGAGCCCTGCCTCTCCAGCCACCAGCCGCGAGTTCCATCCGCTGAGCACACTCCTGCCAAAATCAGAATACAGACCTGTCTCTCTTTACTCTTACTGCCTTATAACTTTAAAATACTAGAATGTTAAATATGAACTATATAGTATAGCAATATATGTCACACATAGAAATGCATGGACAGGGAGCACAGTTTCTTGGACAGTGACAGAGCTGAAGGTGTTAGATCAGCACATTGTCATCTTCACGTCTGTCCATGATGGCTTACTGTATATGTGTCCTCCAGTACATACCTGTGATGTGAATACCCTCTGGTGTGTCTTTACATCCATGTTTCTCATAATCCTTGTTTAAGTGCCTAATTTCTTTACTGCCATGCCTAATATGCACATGGGTCCCATCCACATTGATCTTTATTACAGCTGCTTGCTAAACATCAGGACCTCTACCACCCAGGATACTGCGGCTCTGTGAGCACCAGCAACAACTGGGACATGCTGTGGCATGTGGCAGCTTCTTAAACAGTTCAACATCTGGCATCCCAGTCGCATTGGTTCAGTAGGGTCACCCTTTGTTGATAAGGGGTAGAGGAGTATGGGATTGAGATGTATTTCCCACCAGTTCCACAGGTTTTCAGTAGGATTGACGTCAGAGAATTCTAGTTCATCCAGCCTGGCTCAGGCCAGTAACAGCCTAGTAAAGAGTAGGGAGGATCAGTGGATCATGAAAGGGGTCAGAGAGTGGTATGGTCCATGCAGCTGAGAGATCAACAGAATGGCAGCTAGAACGTACTGACCCAAGCTTGCAGACAGAAAGGTGGCTGTTTCAGGCCGAGTGGAGTAGTGTAGAGACTATCTGTGAGGCAGAAAGCCAGGCCAGAGTCCATGATTCTGTAGAGGAGCCACCTCTGTGAAGCTAAGCTAAAGACTAAATCTACACAACAGCAAGTGACTAGTCACTAAAAAGATTCTAGATGTCATATTGTGCAAGAGATACAGAAAGTTAAAGTGAGGCTTACTGAGTAGTAAGCTAAGTTCTCCTTTCCTCTACCTCCATTTCTCTCTCCCTCTCTTTTTCTTTCCTCATTCTCTGTTAACCAGCCCTAACTGTAAAGGTATTCACTCCACCTTTTCTGTCAGCCCCCCAAAAAAAATTAAAACGAAAGTAATGACCATCAAATGGAACATATCTTCGTAATTTTAAAGTGTGTCGTCAATATAATGTCTTAATATGTATATGTCTAATAGCAGTCACACAAAAAAAGCAAAGACCTTATTTAAAACCAGAAACAAAGAGTGCTTGGCAAGCTTTGGTGTTTGTAAGCAATTTTGGCGCCTAGGAACCAGCTCATTAATTTTCTCTGTCATCTGCGTTTCTGAAGAAACCTCCAGCTGTCATCTCCTAAGTGAAGTCATTTGTAATTCAGGATCAAGCATTAAGCCTCTCAAATCCCAGCTGGGCTGACCTGTTCCTCCCTCTTCATCTTCAAACGTCTTATACTATAACTGTCAGCTCAACAGAACATCTTAAAATAAGACACCCTGGCAGTGAGAAGCTCAGATATCTGACACTGACAAGAGTTCTGGCTGCTGGAATCTCTTGTAACTCATAAGATATCAAGCCAAAGACAGATGGTTCTTTATCAGGGAGAGTCCTTTTTGTTTGCACTGGAATGTGCATTTCCAGTTGTGTAGCTTTACAATACGGGTGAAAGGGAGAAGTATGAGACTCGTGAGAAATAAGGGCAAGTGTACCCAGTCACGGTGGCCAAAGATAGGTAAAAGTACATTGATCAGGCCGTGACATTTATTTTGTCCACTAGATGTCGCTGTATACTGCAGATTGAATTGTTAGGAACTGAACCTGGAGAAAAAGGTAAAGATGCAACAGATGTGTGTGCGAGTTCATCTGGTTGCAGAGGTGAAACATGGCACCAGAGCCACTATATCCAGCTCAGTTTGCCCCATGTCACACACCCAGCGACCTTCTGACAGCACTCTAGCAACCGGCTGGCAACCCAAGTGTCAGCATAGACAGCTACTCCGAGCAACAGGGTCCCGGCAGCATCCAGGCAGCACACTGATCTGTCACATGGCTCCGTCAGCTCTGGTGAATAAATGGTTAAGAACAGAAACCACGAAAACCACAACTGCCTGGTCTCAGTACAGACGGGTACGGCTGACAGTTTTTTGAAGGCTGTCAGTCAAATAAATCATCTGATATGGTAATCAGTTATAATGGTAAGATTCAATGGCAGAACTTCTTTTAACAACAAATCTTTGTGGTCCAACTCTCTTGTACATTAAATTGTGCTCTTACCTCACTTACCTATTAATTATTGTGATTTGCAAACAAAGTTATTGTGATATTTTCACGTCACGTACAGTAGCTCGGACAATGTGATTGGACATTGGATTCACATTAAGAGCACATGTACGGAGTGAGAGCTCAGCCTGTTGACTTTGCTGCCGTCTGTTCTTCTCAGACTCCTCATCATTCCATTGAATTTCTTCTGGACTTCATACAGCCTTCAAACAGACCAAGCCTGGTAAGCCAAGCACTTTTTTATCCTTAATTTAAGAATAACGTTGTAGCAGTTAGGGCTCTGGTCTCATTGCTAGAAGGCTGCAGGTTTTAATCCTTTATGGGGCACAGCCTTCACAGCCTTGGTGCTTCCCTTAGATTGCTCCAGTAAAATGCCCTTAATAATAATAATAATAATAATAATAATAATAATAATAATAATAATAATAATAATAATAATTGCTTCACTTATATAGCGCTTTTCTGGACACTCCACTCAAAGCACTTTACAGGTAATGGGGACTCCCCTCAACCACCACCAATGTGCAGCATCCACCTGGATGATGCGACAGCAGCCATAGTGTACCAGTACACTCACCACACATCAGCTATTAGTGGGGAGGAGAGCAGAGTGATGTAGCCAATTCATAGAGGGGGATTATTAGGAGGCCATGATTGGTAAAGGCCAATGGGAAATTTGGCCAGAATGTCGGGGTTACACCCCTGCTCTTTTCAAGAAACACCCTGGGATTTTTTATGACCACGGAGAGTCAGGACCTCGGTTTTACATTCATCCAAAGGACACCGCCTGTTTACAGTATAGTGTCCCTGTCACTATACTGGGGCATTAGGACCCACACGGACCGCAGGGTGAGCGCCCTCTGCTGGCCCCACAAACACCTCTTCCAGCAGCAATCTTAGTTTTTCCCAGGAGGTCTTCCATCCAGGTACTGACCACACCTTCTTAGCTTCAGTGGGTTGCCAGTTGGGAGTTGCAGAGTGATATGGCTGCTGGCAACATACAAGGGTGCGCTCTACATCTCCATTGCAAATCAAAATATTACAGTCCAAAAAACATTGCGCCTCCCCTTTAACTCCGCTCAGCTGAGAAACAAGTGCATGAATTGTAACAATAGGGCACGCAAAATAATTGCAAGTCTTTCTCTGTGCATGTGAGTCCTTGGCCCCCTTGTGCCCCCCTGTGCTCACCTATCCTGTAGGAGGTGCTGTTGCACACATCCACCTCCCAGTAGAACTGGCCTCTGGCAATGCACTGCCCCGCAGAGACCCTTGGGAGAGGATGGAGCTCCTCTCTTCCACTCCTCAACGACACCACAGACAGCGCTATCTGGCTGTCATAGTAACGGGGGTCCGCTGGGGTCTGCAGGAACGTCACCGTCAGGCCCGAAGGTGAGACCCTGAGAGGCGGGGGTGCAGTCTGGGGGTCCAGAGTGAACTCCAGACCTGTGGTTGTGTTGAAGTGACACGGAAAGTTCATATTTAATCTTCTCTTCTCTTAGATTCATATGACTTAGTTCAGAACAATGCTTTTTCTGTGAGTATATCAGGTCCAGGTCACCATTCAAAAGTTACCTTTTTAAGCTCTTCCACAGTTTTCCTAGAGCTCTGTTGCTTTACTACAGCTTTATGTAAGCACCAATAATAATACGTTTCTTATTTAAGTAGACTTTAAGTGAATTATAACACAATTTTTCTACTGTTGGGTTATTATAATCCTCTACTGGAAAATGAATTGTTCTACTGTAATTTTACTAGAACTTCCCCATTATAAAGTGATTATTCTACTATTCTTCATAGACCTTATTATAACAAGTTGTGCATTGTTTAGGTTTATTCTCTTTTGTCATCCGAAGAAACAGCCAACCAGATAGTCAGAACAGCTGATACCCGTTACTGTCTTGCAGATGAAGAATATGTGTGAATTGATAGAGAGCAACCACCAAATTTTCAATATGAGCAACTGCAGAATAAGACCAATAAAAATAAGAAAGTGGAAACACAAACAAACATTTCTCTCGAAAGCATTTCACTTACTTACAACAGTAATATCTGTGCTGAGGACCTAAACACACCTCCTATCAATCATAAGCCAGAAAGCTATTCGATTAAATATTGCCTAGATTCATCTTTCATTTAGCAAACTGTTGATCAACTCAAGCATTTTCATTTAAATTCAAGTTGGAAAACATGTGCTGGCTGTAGGTATCCAGTTGATCTGGGGCCAGTTGGCAGCCCCAGTGTCTCCTTAACCCTACCCTACAGTAATCTATAAACATCCTTGTGCTCCTCCCATGTGATACATAGCGCAGGGAAGGCCACATTGCTCGCGGCAATGCATTTTATACATCTTGGTTCATAGTACATACATAGTTTAGCCCTTAGTCTCTAACGTTTCTTCCAAGATACTTCAACCACAGAATAACCACTGATATTCCAATATTATTTTAATCAAATGTAATTCAGCTCTTTATCCCTTGTGTGTCATAATGTATCTGCTGCATTACTCATGTGTCTCTATGTATCTGTAGGCTACTGTAAAAACCACCACATGTTGATCTGATTATGGACCGTTTGGATGACTCCTTACCTCTCACTGATTTCTCCATGTCCTCCTCCAGCAGCGCTACACAGCCCCCTGGTGGCACCTTTGGATAACCTGATAAGGAGAAATGATGTTAAGTGGTCCACTGTGCATGCATGTGTGATAGTTTATTTTTCTGATTTTAACCTGTTACATTCTTTGGAGAGTCTGAAGACCATATAAGCAGAAAATAATAGAGATGCTCTGAAAATAATTTAATTTTTAATACCAGCAATCAAGAAATGTGTATAGCAGAGCTTGGCTAATAGGGCACCAGCAGGATGACAAATATTTTTGTTACTTCTGTGCAAAAAGTACAACAAATATAGCATTTCAAAGTTTGGGGAAAAAATAGTGGGAAATGAAGAAAGTGACTTTGGTAGGAATATCTCTGTGAGGTATCTTCAGGGGGCCAGGCGTGAAACTATTATGCAGCAGTACCTATTCTCTTGATAGGTGCAGCAGAGGAGACTTGGACTTCCTGCCTACAGCTCTGATTCACAAAGGTGAACTTCTGCAATTGGACTTGAAGACAGTACGAACTTTTAGGTCTAGGCCTGATGGTGAGACAGATTCATTCAGCACGCAGGAAAATGACAAGACCTGATAGACTGATTGGCCTGTTTTCGTTTCTTATGTCCAATCACAATGTTTTAGACCAGGGGTCGTTCTTCTCTGAGCCGTTTCTGAAATAACATTGTGCAATCTGTAATGTGATTACCACAACTGAGCTAACTCACCGCACAGCGCCTCCCATTTCTCAGTCGCAGATTCCCCTGCGCATGCCAAGACAACCTAGGAGAGAGACAAACAATGGCACAGAGGAGTGAATTCTGATGGCTGCTTGGGTCGCTATTGGTCCACGTCAGAGTTGAACAGCTATCTGGGGCAGTCAGGCTCACAAAACAGTGCCAACTCAAACACTCATCATAGGTGTACATTATATATTAAATATAATGAGAGGCTATCCATTCATTCTAAACGATAACAGCATCATAGAATTGGAGAAGGATATAGCTTTGCTTATATCTCCATTAAAGTAAATTGGAGGACACAAGCTACCCATCTAACACATATTGTCTACTATTCTTACAAACATTTTTACCAAAATCAGCTACACGCATTCACCACTCAAGTCATGAGATCACAAGATTTGTTTCTGGTGCATGGAGGGATAAGGCTCGAAAGTTAACATTTAAAGATGAACTATATGGATAGACCGCTCATTCTTCAGACAGCCAAACATTTGATGCTACCTTTTGAAATGGTTTTACTTTTTTTTCTTCAGGGACAAAAATTCCAGCAGGGAGTATTTAACGTTACCCAGTCAAACTCAGAACCTGGCAAAGTGGTCAATCAAAAGTCTTCATTACTTTCACCCCTGGCACAGCAGCAGCCAGTTTCTTCTTTCATACACAAAGACACTTTCGGAGACTCATTCTTTCAGACCACAGACCTGTCTGCTGGTGGTGTAGAACAGGAGTGCTCCAGTCTACACTCCTTCTGTTTTATCTGTGGGGAGCAGAGTCATCACTACCATGCCAGACGCTGCCCTACTCCTCCAGGTGCTACTGCCTGCCAACAACCCTGGTTCAGCTTTCTAGCCTTTCTCCCTGGCAGCGTACTTCAATCCCATTGGTACTGGCAAACACACTACCACAGAGCCTGCCTGTCCAGCATATGAGATATCCACTAGTACAGCCAAAGCTAGATCTTCAAACATCCTTCGCTCTCTGAGCTGCACAAGCCAGCTCCACCTGTTGCTCCAGAGACCTCCCTGAAGAGCGCTAACTCTCTCTCCTCTCATGGCAGAGTCTAGACATAGACCGAAAGCCTCTTCACCCTGGCTGCTCTTAGAAACTTTTCCAGCGGTCTATGGGAGGGGTCAATTCCGCACAGAGTCTATATGATCTGCTCCTTTCCTCATGTGGAATCTCACTCCCTTTGGGTGCCAATTGTCCAATTAGCCGCGTTTATCTCATTTTTGGTGTGGATTGTCTCTTCAATAGGTGTCTTTTCATTGACACCACCTCTGACTACCTCACAACTACACTCATTGCTTCATTGTTAAACACTGCAGTTGATTATGTTCTTCTCTGTTCTTTCTTTTGTAGATAATGCTGTGGTTCTAGACCATGCTTGGACTTTTCTGCAAAGCAGCAGATTGGTGTCAGTGAGATGTTGAATTGCTCTGCTATTCTGGAAGGGTGGATTTGCTATGATGTTCTACTTTATAGTACATTTGGAGGTGTATTATGAAGCATTAGAACACTTTTGTTTAGGGGTCACCCAATTTTGGACTTCTTTGGGGTTTTAAATCTTGGTTCAAAACCACAAAAGCAGAGCTTTTTTTGTTTTTACTCTGACAGTAAAGTTCATGACATTTCTCTTAGCTGCTCTGTATAATTCTAATTTTGTTCAGGCTTTTTCAATTGCATTTGTACTGCTTATTGTCAACTGTTTATTTGGGAGCTCACTCTTCCTGTTATTGTTGTGAGAAGACTTAGAACATTTCATCAGATTGATGATGAATAAAGAATATGGTAACTTTTTACTCCTGGCTTGAGACTGGTGTGTTTTTAGGGTTACATATGTCTGCCACCCAGGGAGTAGACTGTCCTTCAAGGTCTTTTGTTGCTGTTTTAAATGTCTATAAATGTTGACTTTTTAAATCCTAGAACATGTGTTGCTTAAATTCATCCATCAAAAGAGCTAAACATTTAGATTTCGGTACACTGTAAGTACTTTCAAATTGCTTATTTTCATCCATCTCAAGTCTACAGATGTGCACAGACTTTGAAATAAACACTATAAATTCATTGGATGATTGTCTCAGAAGGCTACAAGAAAGCCTTGAAACCCAGAAGAGTACAGCACATGGATTAATATTAATAATAATGTTTCTTTATTAGCCCTATACAATTTCTTGCATTAGGAATTCGTCTTTTCGCATACCCCAGCTTTTCTCCAAGGAGACACAGACACACAGACAGGGAGAGAAGCTTGGGGTCAGAGCGCAGGGTCTGCCATTGTACAGCGCCCCTGGAGCAGTTGGGATTAAGGGATTAGCACTGCGATGCAAGATTAACCTGCCCTCTTTGTTATAATAAAGCCTTGTTCTAATTATAGTACAGCCTCGGCCAACCTCTTTAGTTACCATGAATGTCAAGACAAAGCAAAAATATATATTTAACAACAGAACATAAAAGGGCATATACGCATACATGGTGTATCACCAATCACAGAATGCATATTTCAATGTTGAGCTGTCTGAGAAAATCACAGAGTCAACTTAACACCTAAACTGCTATTAGCCAGTCAAGCAACAGGTCTTCCTGCCAGAGTCAATCAACAAGTATTTTTGCCTGAACTGTATAGTGACTAACGTTTGTTTACTATGATGCCAACCAGTGTCTATGTGGTCACTCTAAGAAATAATAGAAATTCCTTGTGTGAATCCACCTGGCATGGGACAAAAATGAACAGCAGCCACGAAGATAAGGTACTTCAAATCCTGCACGAAGAGAGAGGTGGAAGAAGGGACTATGATATGATATGATGTGATGAAAGCTGGAAAAGGAGAATTAGTTGCCCATATTTACAAGGGAAGGAAATTGGATCAGCAGTTTGAGTTGTGGGTTATCTTTTGTCCTTAAGCCTTCGTTTTCAAACTTTTAAAACTCTATTAGTGTCATATCCAACCAGCAGAGGGCTAGGACTCCATCTCTGAACACATCAGCTTTGCCACTAGTTCATCCTCCAACCCAAACACCTGTGTTTGACTCCGTCCCTCTGACCTGCTTAGTTCTCCTTGACCTATTCAAAAGTGATCATGTGGAACAAAACATGAAATATGTTGGCCGATGTAATGAAACAGGAGCCTGCTTTTTACACCATTGAAGTGGATTCAAAACAAAAAGCATGAAGAAAGTGATCTTTACAATTTCAAATTGTTCTGTGAAAAGATTAATTAATGTAGCTATTCAGTTTTATAGCAAACAATTATTCAAATTATCACAAAGTACACAGAAAATGAAAATGTCTTTTCTGCACTCTGACAAAATTATTTCCACTTTCATCAAACCAAGACAAAATCATATTAAACCCATTCTCATTATTTCCTTCTATGAAAAAATATGTTGTTCATTTTAAGAACAAACATAGTAGCTACAATAGTAAAAAACACAAGAAATGGGAACAGGTATAAAAGACTAATGTAACTGTTGGAAAACGAGTCTGATTCAACAAGCCCTGAAGATGATAAAAATGATAAAAGGCATCTGACCACTCTGTTGCACCTGTGGACCAGAGAAATGTAATCTGCACAGCTTTCACATGGTGCTGCTTTAAAGGTTTTAACCATAAAACTTTAAAATAACATTTAATCTTCATTATATACACTACTTAATCCACACTTTCTAAGCAAAAATCAAAAAGAAAGTAGTAAACAGATTAATATGAAAGAAAAATTGCAATCACAACGTTTCTGCAGCAAACCAACATAAATTATGGTGCACAAAATGTCGTGATCGAGCCATGCAATTACCCGAGTGGCCTCTGTGTACAATAATAGGGGATTACTTGATTTTAGAAATGTACAGGGAAAGTACAATATGTGATTATAGAGAATCTATCTCAGTAAGGTGCTCCAGTTAGCTAGTGAATTTCAAGCAAATATTACATCATGAAAACTAAGGAGTTTTCACAACAACTCAAGCTGTAGGAAGCTGTAGAAAAGCATAAACCAAGGGAAAGGAAGAAACAAATTTCAAAGACACTTAAACCTATCTTTGAGCACAGAGAAGTCCATCATTAAGAAGTGGAAGGTGTATGGTACTATCCAGACACTGCCTTGAGCAGGCAGCCCCTCCAAACAAATCAGGTAATGAGGAAACTGGTGTGGGAGGCCTCAGTGAAGACGATTTGGAGATTTAAAATAAAAAACTAAAGAGTTCAATGGCTGAGGTGAAAGAAAATTTCCTTGAGTCAAATCTGTCTATATGGCAGAGTGGTAAAAAGGAAAGCCTTTCTGAAAAAAGACCTCACATTCTGCAAGATGTTTACAACAAAGTATTTAAGTGATTGTAGTAAAATTCTGTTTTGTGGTCAGATGAACTCATCACCCAGTCACCACTACTACTTCCTATGATCAGGATGATGGCAGAATTACAGTTGGTTTTTATGGGGCTGCTTCTCATCAACAAGGACCGACAAGCTTGTTAAGACTGAGGGCAAAATGGAAGAAGAAACATACTGATAAATCTTAGAGGAAAATCTGTTTCAGTTTTCTAAAGATCAAAAAGCAGGATAAGCATTCCCTGTTCATCTTAGCAAAAAACTTGCAGCTGTAATACTGTACTTGCCACTGGTGCTGCCAACAAATGTAGAGCTTAATTCTGAAGCAGTACACATGTTGCAGATTTTTGTCTTTAGTTCTTGCATTGCATTAACTGTAAGTCATCGTACAGGATAACTAAAGACTTCAGTTTGAGAAGTTTAAAAAAATGATTATGCATCACTTTGTAATTTCACAAAATGGTGAAATTTTGTGGTAAAAAACAAAATGGTAAAAAACCACAAGAAGGGTCTGCATGCTTTTTCAAGGCAGTGTTAAAGTTTAAAATATTTTTTATCCATGCAGTGAACATCTGCAGTTCAAATGCTGTCTGATCACTGCTCATGGGGCTCTATAGTAGGAAAGGACTATGACATCTCGACTGTGGTCAAAACAGCTTTCTCACACGTGTACCTGTAGTGTCGTGGGCTCTTGCTCTCCTGTCTCTGTTTTCAGAAGCACGGTCTTCTCCTGTGCCTGTGCTAGCCCTCCTAGCTCTCTCTGCTGTTGCTGGGGAAGGAGAAAGATAAAAGTATAAATTATCAAAGGTTAGAGGGTCAGCATGCACCACCCGCATAGCCTAAAACACAGCATTGAGGGCTGGATGATACAATGGCTTAAGATACATTTTCGGTTATCCTGTGCTACACTAGCACAATTTATTTGTTGCTAGCTAATAACATATACCATATAAGAGAAAGCCCATATTTCTCATTTGGTCAATAGGAGATAATTATGAAAATATACCATCAAGTCATTCTTCAGAGGATACTACATTGTCAGCTTCAATGGGAGAATTTAATCAGGCCTCGACAAAGGAGGCACCTGACAATACCGACGGGCCTGCATTTCTGAAGTGTGTTCCACCACCCCTGAGTTTCCCACTCTCTTTAAGACATGATTGAATCAGAAATACCCTTTCAAAACCGTTTTTGCAAGAGCGCTCTTAGAAGATGTGCATGCCCATTGTGGGGCTGTGTCGTAAGGAAAGACACTGCTGCGAGCATATCCTAACAAACTCTGACCGTCCAGGTTCTCTCAAGACTACCAGGAGACATCACCTGATGACCCGAGCTGGAGTCTTCCACAGCGACACCGCTCTCGTCCTCCAGCAAGCCTGCAGGGCCCGTCCGTACCCGGCTCCTCTCCCAGACGAACGGCCTCTGCTTCCTGCCATGGCCCGCACCCCCTCCCCTAAGCCACCCCTGTGCCAGTGGCCCTGTGCCCTGCAGGGCAGGGTTTACAGGCAGGCAGTCAGCAGCGCCAGCCCAACCCAAACTGGGCAGCTCCACGGGGAAGTGGCAGCCTGGGCACAGCAGTGCGCAGCTCCAGAGGGCTGTGGGGGAGATGCCAACCGCAGCGTGGCCGGCTCTGAACACGCAGCCCCGACACAGGCTGTGAGAACAGGGCAGGAGCAGCGGGAGGTCAAAAGGTTGCCCGCAGGATGGGCAGAGGGGGCACGGCATGAGACAGGAACACCAGTCGTCTGACTCTTCTTCCCCTTCCTCCTCTTCTTTGTCTTCGTGAAGTTCTCTGACATGTTGGCGTGCCACAAAGGATTGGCGTACTTCCGATGACATTTTCTGTCCATCTCCTGGTTTCTCACATCTTCAAGACTGAAGGAAATGTACTGTTAATCAGCTGTCCATCAGCTACCCTTGAGGAGATCAAGTTGCTCAGATTCTGATTTTCTCTTTCCCCATCTTGTGTTTTTATATAGTTTTAGCTTGGTCAGTGTTGTAGTATGTGTATTTTATTTATTTGTGTATTGTATTTACAAGATGTATATTGTAGTAGTTTGTAACATCTGTCATACTTATGCAGTAGAGCTACATTATATATATCCATGCCATTGTTTGTATATAGTGCTAATCAACCAGCACAACTGCTACCTTTCTTTGTATAAACCAAGAATTTTCACTCTTCAATTCTTAGTCCTGCAAACACATGGCAGTCCCTGAATCCCATGGTCTGTTGACAAGAAGTGGTCAGTTTTTCAGAGACGTCCATGTGCTTCTATGTCCAGGTCTCCCTGCCAGGTCTCCTCTTCTGGGCTGCACTTTAAATCATAACAGCTCAGCCCTGGACCTTTCAAGACACCCAACAATCAGATACAACCAAATATTCCATTATTTCAGCAATACTGGGCAGACGTATACTATATGTATGGTGCTAATTCAGCATTGGAGAGGATGTGCTTAACAAACAACTTTACACAACTCTCCTGTATTTCTATACTACACACACTCTGCTGTATGGAGTCAAATACTATGATATATAATATATATATATAACTTTAATAACTATGGGTTTTAGAGGGGGTTCCCAATACACTTCAGGATTAGGGACCAGAAAGTAGCAACTTATAACAAAACGCTGTACGTAGGGGAATTGTTCCAAATAAGAACAATTAAAAGCTGGGGAGTGACTGTGAGAAACTTTATTTCTTCTGATAAAACCAGAGAAAAAGAACAATCTTCATTCTCTCCTCAGATGCAATATCACCGAGCATATGCTGTATATGTGTTTGAGTGTGAAAGGACTAAATCCACTGTCTAACATGATTGTCAAAGATATTTTCTAACCCTATTTCCAGATGAGCTGCTGTATTTTTCACTTTACTCAGTTGTCTGTTCTGAGTTGCCCTCTGCTCTTTGTTTAGCAAACAGGTTCATTTACTCTTCTCTAAACTTGGCACAACACCACTCAACCACTCCGGGAAACAAATGTTATCTTCCCACCAAAGTATTTAGTTACAGCACGGAAGAAACGTCACTTTTGCTTACCTTTTCACTTCCTTCGCTTTTTAACAGCACAGAAGATCCCGTTCCTTCAGAGTGAAAGACTGTGACTCTGTCCTGCTGTCTTTTTGCTCTCCCTCTGTTTCCCTCTCTCCCTGCTTTTTATTACCTCAAGATCCCATGTTGAGTCAGGGATGGGAATGAGAAGAGAAAGCTGTTTTTATGGTCCACTCATTACTGGCTGTTGTCATGGAGAGAGCTGCCTAGTAAAGATGACTCACTCTTAGGGGGGATATCAAAGTCCCATCAGCAGGCCAGCCCAAAGCAGACAGCACCCCCGAGTCCTGCTGTGATGGGAGTTCTACTGACTGTGACTGGAGGCATGCAGCACCTGTCCCTGTAATGCTGTGATCACGCCCTTTGACAGGAGCACCTTCCAAAGAAAATTAAATCAAGAAGCACACTCCTCTTCTCTCACTTATGCAGATGTTATGTGCAAGCACAGCTGCCTTTCAAGATATGGAAATTCTTAACTGACGTGTGGGAGGGATAATGACTGTACTGTAGTGGGTGCTGTCTTTCGGATGAGATGTTAAACTCTCAGTGGTCAGTAAAGATCCCCGGGCATTTCTCGATATGAGAAGGGAGTTATCCCGGTGTCTGGGATAAATTTCCTCCTCTGCCGTTACGGTGGCCTCCAAATTGTCCCCATGTATGATTGGCTTGCACTTGCCCTGTGATGGACTGGTGCCCCGTCCAGGGTGTGCCCTGCCTTGCGCTTGTTGCCTGCCGGGTAGGCTCTGGCTTCCCGCAACACCGTATGGTAGAAAGCAGTTTGGCAAATGACAGGACATGACATGACAAGGCATGAAAATTTGTACCTGAGTTAGAAAAAACAAAAAAACAACCAGGAATCCCATAGCAGGTTGGAAGGAACGATTATGTATACCGGGGTGTGGCAGAGGCTTATCCTTTGTTGTTTATTATCTCCAATTTACTCCTAGACTTGTATTGAGCGATTTAGTGCACGGGCTACTGTGCACTACTTGATTTGGCTTAAGCCTGTTTGGCTGAGCGAATAAATTTGGTTGGAAAGATGAGGCCATCAGAACCCACAATCATTCCAAAAAGGATTTCGTATTGCCACTGCAGAGTTTTACACAACATACAACTATAAATATTGATGGACTGGCATTCTGTCCAGGATGAATCCTACCTCACACTCATTGCTTGCTGGAATAGGTTCCTGACCCTGTATTGGATAAAAATGTTAGAAAATGTATAGATGGATGGAACACTATATAGATGTTTTAATCTTTGATAACTATACTCAGAGGAAAGAGGAGGAAACTGTGAATTTAAATATACAGTTGATCTTCTTGAATTTAAATGACAAAAGTACAGCACAGAGTAATACAGTGTTATTTATGTTGCTTAAATGGGCAGGAATCATTAACAATTATATACAGAAATTCTGAGGTAGTGAACAAAGTAATGCATCAAGAACACAGGCATCAGGACTTGAAAGCTAACCCATCTGTTAAAGGGACAGAAGGGTTCTTACAAGGACACATACTATAACAGTGACAAGAGAAAGCCAGTATAAATATTAATACAAGAGATGAGAGTAGAATAGAGATTGAAACTGAAACACTATCAAGGTACATGTATACCTGTATCTTGCACAAACTCGTTCACTGATTCAAATAAAGATAAGACAAGGCATGAAAAATCAGCTGGTTGGAAAACAGCTTTTTCCTTAACATAAGCTGTATATCTTTATGTGCATTGCATGGGAATTGAGAATACAAAGTGTTACAAATCATCTTGTAACATTAACTAAGCCTCACTATTGTCATCCACAAACAACAAAGCTGTGTCCAACAGGAGAGATGCAGTGTATATCAGGAGGCAACAGGGATCCTAAATATGTTCCATATCATGTCCCTGACATTCTAGTCATACAAACAGTAACAGCTCTGTGTGACCTTTTCACCTGTCCATTTTGTTTTAAGACATGCAGAACAATACTTCCTATTGACAATAGGTAGGTAGGTCTTCTTCAAGCCACAGCGGTTCACTGGGCTAGAGCTTGTCACTCTGTGGCGTTAAGTGGACAGAGAACACATACAGTAGCTGTCACGATTGTAGTCCCTCCCCCTTAAGGGCGCTCCGGCTCGTTCACTTTTTAGTTGATTTTGTGCACCTGCTCCCTGTTCCTGCCTCCCTGCATAAGCCAGACGCTCACTCTGTTCCAGCCTCTGCATTGGTTTCCTGAACCAGCCGAGTCCGGGACCTGGAGCGCCTGGTTCCGTTCCCCCTTTCCCCCCCCGATCCCTCGCCGGATTCCGCTCCGGTCTTTAACTTTGTTTTGTTCATCTTGGATTTATCACCCAGCTCTGGACCTTCGCCTGCACTGGACATCCCTATTGACTCCCTTTTGGACTGTTCACCTGGACCACGCCAACCCCCGGTTCCTCTACCAGCCCAGTTCTGGTAGCTCTCCTCCTGGAAGCAGAGGTTGCCTCTGGCTAATGTTGATGCTGGTCTCCATGCATCGGGCTGGGTAAGCTGGAGCAGTCCTAGAAAAAGATCTCCATCAGGGCCAGTCCGCAACACAAGAGCCGTGTCAGCAGAGGGGACTCAGTCCCACAACCTGCCAGCCATGAGTCCAGAAACGTACCTGTTACATTCTAACAGCCTTCCATACACAAACTAGTCATAAGCACACTATAATCAGAACTATGTTTAGCCCAGAATATAACTGCTAACAGCACAAAACATAGAGTACTAATGATAATGAGCTGCCAATATCCACTGACTGGGATGAATATTGAATATTGTTGGGGAACAGCTGGGATTCAATATTTATCTAAAATATACCTGTGAATATATGTCAGAAGGAGAAAGAGGAAACCGCCTAAGAATCCAGAAGAAATCAAAAGCTAAAGACAACTAATCTACACACTACAGACCTCTGACGACCAGCAGAGCTGTGGTCACAACATTGCGCTGGTAACATGTTTAAAGAATCAAAACTCGTTTTGACACCTGCTCTTTCAGTTCCCTGCTGCTCAGCACCTTTGCTAACCCTACCCAGTTGCCATGAAGCAGAAAAGGGTTTCTAGCTCTGATATCCTGTTTTCATTTTGTTTCAGTACTAAATGACGTAGTTCCTATCTCCATGCATTATCAAAGATCCCAGAAGTGATGTCACTTTCAATTTACTATTTACACATCCTGAACTAGAGGAGAACACAAGAGAGCCTAGTTATAGTTTTACAGACCCAGCACTAAGGCCGGGCTCTAAGGAGACCGGCCTTCTGTATTTCTGCATCCTCAGATAATCTGCGAGCCCCATCTAATCAAACATGTTGTTTCACAACCAGTGCAGAGGGTCAGTAAAGCATGTGTATGAGCAGGTTTCACACTAATCCAGGGCAAAAGGTCAGACTCCCACTTCTTTGGCTTTCCAAGGTGCTGGCGGGCATACAGGACACTGAAAGACACTGTAAATTGAATACTAGGTATCTTCTTTTCCACTGTATTTGCACTGAAAATGTGGAGATAAATAATGCAAAATATGATGTTTTTCTGCTTCATCAGAACAGTCTGTGTGATGATTTTCTGCTTCATCAGAACAGTCTGTGGCTAATAAGACCTTAAATTGAATTGAATTACACTATATTGCTCCTAGGGATGCTGTCTTGCACATCAAAAAGTTCAAAAACATATTCAACAATAACATAATACAATAATACAATACAATAACATAATAACAATACAATACCAAAACACGAAACAACATTCTACATCCACAAAACACTGTTCAACAACATAAAACAACATTTGACAACACAAAAACCTGTTATGGATTAAACATTTGTGTGATCTGTGTCTTCCATGCCTCTTATTTATATAGCTCCTAGTCTTCAGGTTTCACTTTTTGGCTCATATAATAATTGAATTGATGGTATTTCATTTGATTTCAGTATCACCCACTGGAGACACTCTGATAGAAGTAATCAGTCTGTCTCGCTTGTGGCTTTTGTTTTCAATCTCATTATTCATTTTCAGCACTGTAGCTCCTCCCCTCTCTACAGCTGGTACCATTGTGTTCATACGTGCCATGGCGCACTGTGTGTGGTGGGATGTCAGACACCTGAGCTGTGTGCTCCTGCATCGCCAAGAGGCTGCCTCCTGACTCAGGGACCTGGAACTCTCAGGCACTCTTCATTAGTGTGAAGCCCAGTGGAGTCACACTGCTGAAACAGATGCTTTCTACATTACAAGCACAATCACTCTTAACCATTTCCTCTTTTCTGTTGCCTCTCTGCTCTTTAAACACTAATCAATACACTCATCCCCAGATGAGCACTTTCTCTTAGTGATGTACAGTTATTGTGAGCTGTTTCAGAAGAACGCAGGAGTTACGAAACAAATCGCAAGGAAAATCCAGAATACAAGGTTCTCAACATCATTAAAAAGGATCACAATATAAAACTGAATGCATTCTGTTTTCTCAAGAAAGAAGTTTGCTCTAGCAAGTGAGTCACAGAGTAACAAAAGAGGCATATTTCCTCTCAATCTACTGTATATCCTGCTAAGGAAGAGTAAGCATTCCTTGCAGGAAATGGCGCTATCATTACCAGGGAACACAGTGTACAGAGAGGTGAACTGGAGGTACAAGGCTGGATCAGTGAGATTACCAGGATATTTCCCCCGGCTGTGTTTGGAGAACTTGGGGGCATCCTGTAGACTGATCCCAGTCCCGGTACCCCCACATGCTCTGTAACTGTAACCTTACTCAAGGACACAAGAGAAGAAATCACATGAGGGACGTGGCCCCATGACCCTCCAGTAAAAGGCCACAACTAGTGTATTTTGTCCATCATCATAATTATTACAAACTGGTATGTCACTGAGGTATCTTCCGTTGCACAATTTAAAGTGAAATAATAACCCTGCAGGTCCACAGCTCTTTAGAGCCTGGCTTGCAGATCCCTGCAAATGCAGTTTGCTTATGCCTCTTTTAGATTGCTGTCCAATGGTGATCGTTTCCAGTTCTGTTTGCTGTGCTTTCCTATTTTGTAGCACCTGACCATTCCCCTTCTAGCACACCTGCATCCCAGCTGCCAGGTGCTGTTAGTCTATATTACTCCAAACACTGGTTTGATTAAATTTAGTTCAGTGATTAAATATTTGCACGTCTCTGATGGTATGAAGGCTGAAGTGATTATACGAGACACAACTAGTCACTCAACAAGTGATTATATGAGATTTAAATCACAAGGTTGTTAATAACATGTCTGTAATATCTGAGTAAGAGACCTGGCATTTTTATCAAGCCAGAACATCTATAATCTTCTTTTATTACATTGATTCATATTGGCCTTAAAAGTACTCTCTCAGTTTACTGTTCTAATTTGTTATCATTCCAGGGAATATGGACAAAAGCTTTGAACATGCTGGAGCAGGTGTCAGATAATTGGATGCATGTTCTGTATTTCCTAGTCTGCAAAGCAAGTCCTTACTGAGGTTAACAGATATGTAAAGCCAGCTTTTGGTAACTCTGAATGCTCAGATTACACTTTCGCATGAAATCATTTCACAACTAAGCAGAAGGAGTCTTAGACAAACTGGTTTTGGTAGCTAAAGCAAAAAGGTATTGCTTGTATTGTCAACATTTGGTCTTAGATATGAAAAACATCAGAGTGTATTAAATCAGTCACC